GTTTGGAGATGTTCAGTGGCTCGTGTGTGTGCTCAGAGCATCCAAGTGCACTTGGCATTTCAGGCAGCATCCCATAAAGAAACGCTGAGCACAGGGCACAGCCCCCTCCCTGCCCACCACGGCCGGGTGTGCAGCCTTGCCCAGAGAAATGTTATTTCTTCTAATTTGGTGATTAAAATGTAAATGACAGGGATAGGACAAGGGGTGATGGGTTCAAACTGAAACAGGGGAGATTTAGGTTGGATATAAGGAAGAAGCTCTTCCCTGTGAGGGTGCTGAGGTGCTGGCACAGGGTGCCCAGAAAAGCTGTGGCTGCCCCATCCCTGGCAGTGTTCCAGGCCAGGGTGGGCAACCTGCTCTAGTGGAAGGTGTCCCTGCCCGCAGCAGGAGTTGGAACTGGTTGAGCTTTAAGGTCCCTTCCAACACAAACCATTCTGGGATCCTATCAATGGCCAGCTGCACTGGGCACTGCTGCTCGTTGCTCCATCCCATCAGAGTAATAAGCTGCCCTGGGCCCCCTGCCACAGCTGAAATAAAATAGTCTTTATAATATAATAGGTTGTTTTTCATAAGCCAAACACATGTGCTCCCACGTGGGCAGCAAGCAAGGGATCAAAATGAAGGTGAATTAAAGCCGCCACCACGGTATGGCTGCTGGATGTGCAGTGGGAAGGGGACACCTTTTAAAACCCCAGCTCCATCTCAACACAGGGCATGTGGACCCTCTGTCCTCACTCCCCCTGGGTCGACCGACCCCATTCCATCCTTCCCTGGCTTTAACCTCCCCTTCACAGCCCCACTGCTGGTTCCCCAGCACGTAGTCGGAGTGAAGCAGGAGCTATTCCCATTATTTGGGGCCCTGCCAGCTCTGATTTATGGCTGAACCCAACTCCAGCCCCCGGGGCTGGGAAAGTCCCATTGGGACCAGCTAACCCCCAGGTCCCCATCTCTGCCCCAGTGCCCCCCTTTCCCTCCCCATCCCTTCCCAAGGCGCGGGGTCCATCCACGTGTGCCCGCAGGGAAGGTTACCCGGACACGTGCCGGGTGGCTTCACTGGAGTGTGAACGTCATTACAAACCCATTAGGAACTGGCTGGCTCAGCCCTGGGCAGGACCAGGCTCAGGCTGCAGCCGAGCCGCAGCCTCCGGAGCCGGAAACCACTCCTTGCCTTCCCCCGGAGGTGTGCTCAGCACCCGCAGGTAAACGGGCTTCCCGGCATCTCTCCTTCCCCGCCTCTCTCCCACCCGGAGCCCATGGCCGAGGAGAAGACCTTTCGTTATGGGTTCATCATACTGGGATTCTTCCTGGTGATGACGGGGATGTTCATCATGAGCATGGAGAAGCCCCAGATCTACATCACCTTCTGCGCCCTGGGAGTGCTGCTCGTGGCTGTGGGCATCACCTGGAGCATGTGCCAGTGCTACCCGAAGGTAGGGTCCATCCTGTCTCTGTGCACCTCAGGGGGCTGGAGGAATCAGCTCGTGGTTTTGGGGGTTTGGGTTTGTAGCCTTGGGCTGTGCTATTCTCATCCATTGGGTGGGATAGAGGCAGATCCCATGGGAAATCTGAGTGATCCTAAGGGAAAATGTTGGTGTTGGAGGCTTGTGCCCTGCTACACCTCCCTCCTGATGCCTGCAGGATGCAGCCCTGCTTCCTCACCCCCGTGTACCCCTGCACCTCCCTGAGCCTGGGGCTTCAACACCAAACAGGCAGCAGGGAACAAGCCCAAGGAAATTATTATTATTACCCCCAAACCGCTGCTTCCCCCATAGGGATCAGGGCCTTGGTGGGCTCCCAAAGAAGGGGCTGTGATGGTCATGGATGTCAGAGGGTCCCAGCTCCCCAAGCACAGCCCTCACCTGCAGGTCTCCTTGGCAGAGGGCACAGCAGCGCAGCAGGGCAGCCACGCGTCCCTGCCCTGGGACATGGGGCTGGCAGCAAAGGCTTTTATCCAAGGAGAGGGTGGCTTTGGCACTCAGCTGGGAGCAGCTTGGGATTGGGACGCATGGTGGGGACCCCAGGACTAGGTGGGACCCCTGAGCCCGGCTGGGTCCCCATGGACCAGGGTGAAGCTGACCCCAGTTCCCCCCAAAGCCAAGCTGAGCCTCAGCAAGGAGGGAGATGTGGCTTTGTCACTGTGCTCGAGGCTCAAGGACGGGCCACCCTTGGTGCTGGTCCTGGCCACTGACCTCCCCTATGGGCCGTGGGAACCCCCGCATGGCTCAGGGACATGCATGACCCTGCTGGGGACAAGGTGCTGAGAGCGGGGCTGTGCTGGGTTCATTCAATCCTGATTGATTTCCAGCAAAAAAATCAATTTCCAAGCAAGATACCCAACTGTGCTGGGAAGAAGCAAAATCCAACAGAAGGGACACTGTGCTGAAGGGACACCCTCCTTTTCAGTGCTTAACAAGGGCTGAGGGTCACTGTGATGCCCATTGCAGCCCCCTGGGCTCTGCATTTCTTGTCCCCCCAGATAACATTCATCCCTGTGGATGTCGAGGCCGAGCGGTTCCTGGAGCACAAGCCCATCGTGCTGCCGGGCAAGGACACCTGGTAGGTCCCAGCACCCTGCCCCTGGTTTCCTTTTGGCGTGGGTTTCCATCTGTACACACAGCTATCTGCGTGCCCCCGGGGACAAGGGCAGTGTCGGAGCTCACTGGCACCGGGAGCAACTACACCTATTGCAGCAAAGGATTGACAAGCAGGGGCCTGGGTGGGGGAGACAAGGGATGGCTGCCGGGCAAGGACACCTGGTAGGTCCCAGCACCCTGCCCCTGGTTTCCTTTTGGCGTGGGTTTCCATCTGTACACACAGCTATCTGCGTGCCCCCGGGGACAAGGGCAGTGTCGGAGCTCACTGGCACCGGGAGCAACTACACCTATTGCAGCAAAGGATTGACAAGCAGGGGCCTGGGTGGGGGAGACAAGGGATGGATGAACCCCCCCCCCCAGGGAAGGAGACTGAGTGATGCTGAGGGGTTCAAAGCGTCCAGATGTGTTCTTGTGGGTACCACCTGCAAGGACCCACTGGCTCTGCTGCTATGATGTGGCCTTGATGGCCTCTAAAGCACATGGTGGTGTCTTTTGTGCATGTCCCTGAGCATCTCCAGGCCCCATAGGGGTCCATGTCCTGCTCATCGCCCCATGTCCCTCCTTCACCCGCAGCTTGCTCGCACCCTGCGCCAAGCAAGAGGCCAGCAGCGCCTATGAGAAAAGCCTGCCGTCCTACGAGCAGGTCCAGAGGCAGGGGGTGGGCTCAGCCCTGCTCCCCCCTGCCCAGCACAGAGCCCACGGCTGCTCCCAGCCAGCCCTGCAGGCCAGAGCAGAGGTGCACCAGGAGCTGGGGGGTGCTGGGGACCCCCCCAAAGAGCTGGTGCCTCGTCTGGAAGCAGCATCCGGCGGCTGGTATGTGATGCCCTTGGGATTGGGGGGCAGTGGTGGGATGTGCGGTGAAACTGGGGGGGGTTGGACCTCTGGTGTGTGGGGAGGGAGAGGAGGAAGAGGGGTCTTAACTGCTTGCACAGCATTGACACCCCTGGATCTTCAGCTGTGCTGGATGGTGCCTCAGCCCATGGGGACCCTCAGCACCTAGTTATTTACTGGGAGGAAATCTGGATTGCCTTTGGTTGTAGTTTGCATTTTGCTTTTATTTAATTTTATAAATATAAATACAAACCATGCCCCTCATTGGAATAAATCCCAAGTTTCTGGTCAGACATAGATAGAAATGAGATGCTAAGTACATGTCCCTCAGACCAGATGCCATGTATAATACTGACGCATTGGGTTAGGAAGTCCCAAAAGTGCTTTGCAGGTGGTGGGGGC